AAAAATGCACATTGGTTGAGTGACAGGGTTAGGGACAAGATTTTGCAAACGGTATTTTCTGCCGCAACATTTTCTCGTAATCTGTTTACAAAAGCCATAGATGTTGTGTATTAAAATTTGATGTGTACATCTAGTAGTGTACAAATTGCATACTGTGTATCTTGTCTGGTCACCTGTTTTTAGCCTTAAATATTGTTGTTCTACTCTTGGTTTGAATGATCATCTACCTTGTCTTTTTGAATAATTTTTAGTTTTGTTGGTTCTGGGTAGGAGAAGAACCGTATTAACAAGGATGGGGAGCTCGTGATTTCTTCAACCAAAACTAGAACGCAGAAGTTTGTTTCTTCCCTTTTCTAGTATGTGTTGGTTGCCTCTTTCCGTTTATGTTGCAAGATTGGTTTTCTTATTCTACCATTTTTGTTTTTCTCCTCAGGGGTAACATTGAGGATGCTTTGGCAAAGCTTCAGGTAACATAGGAAAGTTTAGATATAATTTTTTTATTGAAATTGTTAAAAAAATGTTTTGGCAAAGCATCAGGTGTTATTGTCAAAGTGTATTTTACTATAATTCCTTTCTGTTCTTCCCTATTACTTATTGGCTTTTTTGCCTTCATTGTTGAGTTTGTTGATTTTCATTTCCACATTTTGGAACTTTCATTCCAATTGGTCACTTGTTTGTGACCCAAAATACCCATTGTAGCGAATAGCCTCGCAGTATTGAGGCCTTGTGGAACATAGGACAGTGTCTTTACTCTGCTTCTGCATATGTGAGGCTTCCTGCTTCTGTGTTTGGGAAGGCTCTACAATCTGTATCCGAAGGAGTTGGCCACTAGGAGATACATAATAACTGGATGATTCTTTTAAAATAAAGTATGACTGATGCATTGTGCAAACAAAGTGCACAACATCACTTGAAGTCAGTGTTCAAATAATGTACCTAGTGCTAGCACAAAAACTTTCTTGCTTCATATGTTGTTAATTGTAGTATCTATTAACTTTAGTATGTATTAGTATAGTTAAATTTAATGACTTGCACTTCCATATGAAATAGCAAACCAAATGGGTTTACCCCTCTGTTCCACATATCTAGAAAAGTCTCGTCCCACGTACCAAATTGTACTGCGAATCATGTATACCATTAGTCCATGGTATAATTATTTGCATCCAGTATAAAGACTAGTGAGGAACAGGAAATGGGAAGAGAAATTTCTTAGTTTTATTGCAGTGTATGCAAAATATTTTGAGAGAACATGAATGCAAGTGTCTCCCTTTAAAAGTATTATTATGCTGGATCCCTCCTGGTTAGCGTCATCTTTGATATGATGTGCTTATTTGGATGTTAGACTTAAGTTATGTAATCTCCCCCTCCCCCTCTCCTTTTAAACAACACAGATTGATTCTATTCACATCTTTTCTTGTTCCTGAAAGCTGGGTTTTACTTAGCAATGGTGCTTTTCTGAATATTTACTGGCAAAAAATAGGAAATCATTGATGCAGCATCATATGTCCCGCCACCTCCCTCAGAAGAGCAAAAAAAGAAAATTGCCAAGATGTAATGCACTTCGCATTCTATGTTTTCTATTTCTTCCGTTCAATACAATTTCTTATTTTGGGTACAATTTTGCTTGTCTTCTATTACACTAGAATCACTTGGTGGTGAAGAATATGTAACTGACCGCTGTTAATCAATTTGCAATTTTGAAGGGCTGCTATAGGCGAACAGAAACGCCTTAAAAGCAAGAAGGTGCTTTCAGATAAGAAAGCATTTAGGAGGAGTAAAAATAGCTGGGACTAGCATGACAAGAATCTTGAGACTGTTATATCAATTTAGTATGTTCTCCACTATTTTATGCTTTAGATTCATTTGTCAAACATCATATTGTGAATTTCATTATGTCTATATCCTCAATTGGTACCATTTCTGAATCTCTGGGCTGCAGGTTGCTGAATCACAATCCTATTACACTATCATACTGGATACACACATTAGATTAATGGTTGAAATATAACCATGAATTCGCGGAACAATTAGAAAGACTTTACAAATGGTTTGTAGCTGCTTACTGGTAGTTAGCCAACATTGTGATGTAGCTAGGATTTGGACGGTTACTATTTTGAAATAGAAATACCATATATTGGTTGAATCCATAATGTTTTCTGTGAGCTTTTTGTCATTTTTGTTCGCCTTTGGCAAGTGTCATCTATTTACATTGCAAGTCAACCTTGGAAACGTGCTTCTCTTGAGAACATGTCATAAAGGTAAGCTGGAAGGTTGGTTCCTTCGAAGATTCGTTTTGATACATTTCCGTGACAGAATTCTTTATTTTATGGAAGTGGTTGGAAGAACAGGGCCATTTGTATTACATAGGCAATTTGCTAAAGATTGGATGCATTGTTCTCAATTGGTCTAAAACAAATACACGGTAAACATCATATCGTTGTTTTTTTGTTGCTTTGAACCACAACTCGTAGCGGTCCTATAAACTACAAGATTCGGAATGTCGTTGCTAAAATGCGTTTAGGGGCTAGGCCCAATTGCCATGATCTGACAGGAAGTTGGATTCTCTCTTCCATTGCCATAGCCCAAAGACATTGTTAAAGTAAAAATTATGAAGCACAAAATAAGTAAATAACAGAGGAAAAATAATTAGAGAGATAGAGGATGCAGAGGGTATGCCGTAAATGATTCAAAAGATATATTGGGCGTTATCCTTCCCCTTCCGAAAATTTTGAACTTGTCAAAGCCAGTTTCTAGGAGAATAATTTTGAAATTTATTTAGTAAAAAAAGGTTAAAATTTTCTTATAAAATGAAACTATTGTGCCCATGTGCCAAAAGGCTTTTTGCTTGGAAAGTATAGTCGGTCTTATGGTTACATAAACAAAGAAAAACTGATTTTGAATTTAAATTCATGATTAACTACTAACCAAAACAAGTTTGTATAACTAGAGTTCACACTCATTAAATATCTATACTAACTCTCTTATTTAACTGTCTACTAGTAGAAACTTTGTTCATAGTTTTTTCATTGATACTTAAGATTATGTGATTATGTCATTGTAGATATTTTATCAACATGGATATTGTCAAATTCATACCTCTTCACACAATTGGACATTTGGACAATCACAAAATCTTGACATTTCACATGAGATTTATGGACCGCCCCACGTAAGTCTGATATTTAAGAACATGTGAATTATAACTCATTGAAAGATGTATCATTGTCAGCAAACACCTTTATGAAACAAACTTGGTTGTAAGTTCTTCATAGTGGTTTATTTTGCAAGACCATTATCTCTACAAAATATCCTAACATAATCATTTTATTATAAAACTTATAAATAATTTTTAGACTTGCCTTTTGGGGATTTAACATTATAACTTTATGATTTGAGCCACAAACTTTTTGCTACAACATTTTGACAAGACCCATTATTCATAGAGAGAAATTGACATAAGTCTGGTAAAAATTATTTATAGATTATTGAGATAACCATTTGAAGATATCATATTGAATATTTTAAAGTATAAAGTTTTTTTTTTTACAAAACAATTTGATGAAGATAATATTTTCATACTTTCTTGATATATTAGAGAAGATAAATTAAATCTACTTATTGTTTAAAATTTGAGAAATAAAACTCAACGACCTTGACCACATTAGAGTGAAAAAAATCAGGCTAAATCTGTTCTTTAAGAGTAGAATTTGCAAAAAAAAAAAAACCTTGGGTTAAAATAGGGGGCATTTACAAATAAATATGAAAGTAACGTGTTACATAATGAAATATAAAATAAAAGAACACATAATTTGGTGGTGTATGCATGTATGTGTGAGTATATTTACAAAAGAAAAAGCAAAATTGAATACTGGGAACAGGCCCTTTTCATATTATCACAGAAAAAGAGAAGAGTAGGTATCTAGAGACCTATGCTAAGGTTTTTTGTGGTAGTTTGTATCCTAACGGTAAGAGCAGGCAAAACTAATAAGAAGATGAGCAGAGGGAGGCGAATTCATCGTCTAATAACGTGCATCTCCCCTGACAGTTGGTCAACATGTTTAATCCATTTCTTTGTAGCACCAGAACTTCCAATGGCGGACACGTGTGCTATGTCAAGTCCCTTCCCCACAGGAAGAAACACGGAACGTACAAGACGACGCGACCCTTCTTCCAGAACACCGCGCCATCGAAAACCAGCAGAAGCAATAGAGCTATTGCTCGTGTGGCACGCGTTCTTGCATATCAGCACTGCGCCTTTGTTGCTCAGCTTAGCCACCTTCAGTACCCTGGAGAAGTTGGAGCGCCTGGAGTCCACCACCATAAAGTCTATCCCCGCCAAACCCTCCATCACCTCCTCCGCATCCCCCACCACGATCTCCGGCCACATCCCCGCCTCTCCCATCCGCTCCGCGTATTCCGATCTCGACCTCTCATCCGGCACCACGCACACGTGCCTNTGTGCAAACAAAGTGCACAACATCACTTGAAGTCAGTGTTCAAATAATGTACCTAGTGCTAGCACAAAAACTTTCTTGCTTCATATGTTGTTAATTGTAGTATCTATTAACTTTAGTATGTATTAGTATAGTTAAATTTAATGACTTGCACTTCCATATGAAATAGCAAACCAAATGGGTTTACCCCTCTGTTCCACATATCTAGAAAAGTCTCGTCCCACGTACCAAATTGTACTGCGAATCATGTATACCATTAGTCCATGGTATAATTATTTGCATCCAGTATAAAGACTAGTGAGGAACAGGAAATGGGAAGAGAAATTTCTTAGTTTTATTGCAGTGTATGCAAAATATTTTGAGAGAACATGAATGCAAGTGTCTCCCTTTAAAAGTATTATTATGCTGGATCCCTCCTGGTTAGCGTCATCTTTGATATGATGTGCTTATTTGGATGTTAGACTTAAGTTATGTAATCTCCCCCTCCCCCTCTCCTTTTAAACAACACAGATTGATTCTATTCACATCTTTTCTTGTTCCTGAAAGCTGGGTTTTACTTAGCAATGGTGCTTTTCTGAATATTTACTGGCAAAAAATAGGAAATCATTGATGCAGCATCATATGTCCCGCCACCTCCCTCAGAAGAGCAAAAAAAGAAAATTGCCAAGATGTAATGCACTTCGCATTCTATGTTTTCTATTTCTTCCGTTCAATACAATTTCTTATTTTGGGTACAATTTTGCTTGTCTTCTATTACACTAGAATCACTTGGTGGTGAAGAATATGTAACTGACCGCTGTTAATCAATTTGCAATTTTGAAGGGCTGCTATAGGCGAACAGAAACGCCTTAAAAGCAAGAAGGTGCTTTCAGATAAGAAAGCATTTAGGAGGAGTAAAAATAGCTGGGACTAGCATGACAAGAATCTTGAGACTGTTATATCAATTTAGTATGTTCTCCACTATTTTATGCTTTAGATTCATTTGTCAAACATCATATTGTGAATTTCATTATGTCTATATCCTCAATTGGTACCATTTCTGAATCTCTGGGCTGCAGGTTGCTGAATCACAATCCTATTACACTATCATACTGGATACACACATTAGATTAATGGTTGAAATATAACCATGAATTCGCGGAACAATTAGAAAGACTTTACAAATGGTTTGTAGCTGCTTACTGGTAGTTAGCCAACATTGTGATGTAGCTAGGATTTGGACGGTTACTATTTTGAAATAGAAATACCATATATTGGTTGAATCCATAATGTTTTCTGTGAGCTTTTTGTCATTTTTGTTCGCCTTTGGCAAGTGTCATCTATTTACATTGCAAGTCAACCTTGGAAACGTGCTTCTCTTGAGAACATGTCATAAAGGTAAGCTGGAAGGTTGGTTCCTTCGAAGATTCGTTTTGATACATTTCCGTGACAGAATTCTTTATTTTATGGAAGTGGTTGGAAGAACAGGGCCATTTGTATTACATAGGCAATTTGCTAAAGATTGGATGCATTGTTCTCAATTGGTCTAAAACAAATACACGGTAAACATCATATCGTTGTTTTTTTGTTGCTTTGAACCACAACTCGTAGCGGTCCTATAAACTACAAGATTCGGAATGTCGTTGCTAAAATGCGTTTAGGGGCTAGGCCCAATTGCCATGATCTGACAGGAAGTTGGATTCTCTCTTCCATTGCCATAGCCCAAAGACATTGTTAAAGTAAAAATTATGAAGCACAAAATAAGTAAATAACAGAGGAAAAATAATTAGAGAGATAGAGGATGCAGAGGGTATGCCGTAAATGATTCAAAAGATATATTGGGCGTTATCCTTCCCCTTCCGAAAATTTTGAACTTGTCAAAGCCAGTTTCTAGGAGAATAATTTTGAAATTTATTTAGTAAAAAAAGGTTAAAATTTTCTTATAAAATGAAACTATTGTGCCCATGTGCCAAAAGGCTTTTTGCTTGGAAAGTATAGTCGGTCTTATGGTTACATAAACAAAGAAAAACTGATTTTGAATTTAAATTCATGATTAACTACTAACCAAAACAAGTTTGTATAACTAGAGTTCACACTCATTAAATATCTATACTAACTCTCTTATTTAACTGTCTACTAGTAGAAACTTTGTTCATAGTTTTTTCATTGATACTTAAGATTATGTGATTATGTCATTGTAGATATTTTATCAACATGGATATTGTCAAATTCATACCTCTTCACACAATTGGACATTTGGACAATCACAAAATCTTGACATTTCACATGAGATTTATGGACCGCCCCACGTAAGTCTGATATTTAAGAACATGTGAATTATAACTCATTGAAAGATGTATCATTGTCAGCAAACACCTTTATGAAACAAACTTGGTTGTAAGTTCTTCATAGTGGTTTATTTTGCAAGACCATTATCTCTACAAAATATCCTAACATAATCATTTTATTATAAAACTTATAAATAATTTTTAGACTTGCCTTTTGGGGATTTAACATTATAACTTTATGATTTGAGCCACAAACTTTTTGCTACAACATTTTGACAAGACCCATTATTCATAGAGAGAAATTGACATAAGTCTGGTAAAAATTATTTATAGATTATTGAGATAACCATTTGAAGATATCATATTGAATATTTTAAAGTATAAAGTTTTTTTTTTTACAAAACAATTTGATGAAGATAATATTTTCATACTTTCTTGATATATTAGAGAAGATAAATTAAATCTACTTATTGTTTAAAATTTGAGAAATAAAACTCAACGACCTTGACCACATTAGAGTGAAAAAAATCAGGCTAAATCTGTTCTTTAAGAGTAGAATTTGCAAAAAAAAAAAAACCTTGGGTTAAAATAGGGGGCATTTACAAATAAATATGAAAGTAACGTGTTACATAATGAAATATAAAATAAAAGAACACATAATTTGGTGGTGTATGCATGTATGTGTGAGTATATTTACAAAAGAAAAAGCAAAATTGAATACTGGGAACAGGCCCTTTTCATATTATCACAGAAAAAGAGAAGAGTAGGTATCTAGAGACCTATGCTAAGGTTTTTTGTGGTAGTTTGTATCCTAACGGTAAGAGCAGGCAAAACTAATAAGAAGATGAGCAGAGGGAGGCGAATTCATCGTCTAATAACGTGCATCTCCCCTGACAGTTGGTCAACATGTTTAATCCATTTCTTTGTAGCACCAGAACTTCCAATGGCGGACACGTGTGCTATGTCAAGTCCCTTCCCCACAGGAAGAAACACGGAACGTACAAGACGACGCGACCCTTCTTCCAGAACACCGCGCCATCGAAAACCAGCAGAAGCAATAGAGCTATTGCTCGTGTGGCACGCGTTCTTGCATATCAGCACTGCGCCTTTGTTGCTCAGCTTAGCCACCTTCAGTACCCTGGAGAAGTTGGAGCGCCTGGAGTCCACCACCATAAAGTCTATCCCCGCCAAACCCTCCATCACCTCCTCCGCATCCCCCACCACGATCTCCGGCCACATCCCCGCCTCTCCCATCCGCTCCGCGTATTCCGATCTCGACCTCTCATCCGGCACCACGCACACGTGCCTCCCGCACGTGTGACTCTTGGCCACGGCCAACCCCACGCTCGTCGCTATCATTCCCCCCTCCGACCAAGTCTCCACGATCAGCTGCGCGTTCCACCCCGCCGCCATCGCCGACACCAGCTCCGCCACCCCCGATTCCTGGAAAATTCGGCACTGCACACAATAAATAAACGGTTAGGGAGGGATAGAAGACGAAATTAGGTTGTGGCAAACACAAAGTGCATGCGTGCTCACTGATTTCACTGTCTCGATGTATGCTTTGGATGCCTTCTCTGGGGACCAAACAAGTTTCATTCTCGTTCCGGTTGGTTTGGGTCTCTGTCTGGGATTGTGAATAACTGAATATGGCAGAAAATGGGTCACGAGGGATTATTATATATGAATATCGGTGGCGTTACAAATTGATGGAGAAAGGAAGGCTTAGAGAGAGAGAGAGAGAGAAAATGGAGAGCGTTGACATTTATTCCGCGCCAATCTGACGTGTGTTGTTAGATTCGGATAACTCCTGTTTTGTTTCACCAGTGTGTTTTTCTTGTCTCTCTGTCTGTCTTACCATTTACAATGCTTTCCCTGTCATGTCTTACGTGTACTGTGCCAAAGGAATTTTTAGTCGCACATTCCTAAACCATGAATGGACAGACATTTACAAAATATTTTTCTACTTCAATATTGTTAACCCATAAACATACTTTTGAATCGTTCACACGACCATACGTTAATTTCACCACACATGCACTTCAAAAACAATTTCAATTTTGGACATATATTTCAAGTTTTAACAAGATAAAATATGATCCCAGTCATCTTTATCCAATAATTATTATTAGCTAATGATCTGAATGCATAAATTTAGAATAACTGTGCATCCTTCTATTGCTTTTTAGGAAAATTATTAATACATATTTACTTCTTATCCAATATTATCTATGGCAACGAAAGTTTTATATTATAAATAAAACAGTCTTATAATGGTAAATTAAAAACAAACTTATCCTGAAACAAGAATTATTTTCCTGTATGTTATAGTGGTTTAAACTGAACTGATATTTGAGTGGAGATACTCTTCTTATGTTTAGTGCTGTTCCTGCCCTTGGTTTCAACCTTAGGCTAGTGGCCGCCGCCCACTTGCTTAGGCCAGTGGCCCTTGTGAGTTACCAAATTATCATAGCCTTATAGGCCAACGACACCGAAAATAACATCTAACAATAATCAAATACCAATGTCGGAGCAGAAAACGCCAATTTTACAATTACTTATATGTACATTCATATTCATAAAAATCTTTCATGATTATCTTTTATTAATATATTCAAACCAAAGTATCATGGAATAAATAGAATACCACAGTAAATGCGCAACGAGTATTTAAGAAGTGTTACTCATTTTTGTTTTCTGTACCATGTTTTTCCGTAATATCTGTAAACCTTAAAAAACATGACAGAGTTTGTTAATTATAACTAATCTTGGAATACTGAGAAAAACTTTTGAACGCGTGTCGGATATAACCAAGTTGGAAAACGACTGTAACTTGGGACGTTCTAGGTTTGTTTGAATAGAAAATATAGTAGAAAAGACAGAAAGAATACATAGAGGATAAAGGGTGGCAGTGAAAGGAAGATTAGAAAAAGAAGAATTAGAAAGGGTCATATGAAGACTTTTAGTCTTTGAGAATGAGAAGGTATTAGATTACTTCCAGAAGCATATATATATATATATATATATATATATATATATATATATATATATATATATATAT